TTTTTTCAAGACAGTATCTCTAGCAAAATTGAGGAAAAAGTGAATACTAATGATGACTTATCAAAACAAGATGTGAGAGTGTGAGAAATACTTGTGAGGCGTTTGTAACTTAGCTAGTTCCTGTTTTCTGTTACAAATCAGTTTAGCACTATATAGCATGTATACATAGCATGAAACAGACACAAAGCATCTCACTGATGATCTAGGAAAGAGCTGGAAGTGTTTCTATATAGCCCTTATTGAGCATGTCATACGTTCCAGGTGGCAGCATATGCTACTTCACTTGATTGTCACAGGATGATAATACTGTGTTGCATGTAAATTAATACAATAACATTGTGACAGTTTTACTGTGTGTCTTGCTGTCTCACAATGTTTATTTGCTCATCTACGGTTGCTCAACTAGCACTTGGTTACTTTGAAATTCAAATCTGGTTTGATTCTAACATCTACATTGTTTTCATTATTTATGTGTGTGTGTATATATATATATATATATATATAAATTATCACATATACCAATTATTGAGCATTTAAAATGAATATATACTAGGAGCAAAGGGAAAAATAGTTTGGTAGTGATTGGCAGAATAATTTCACCATCTAATCAGATTAATAATAGGCTGTGAATGAAAATACAAGCAAAAAAAATATTAATAGTTTTTAGAACAGACATGGTATTTTATCAGAAATGGTTCTGATTGGTTCCTATAATTCACTACACATTTCACATTGAGGATACCAAACCTTGTACTTGTTTCCTTTTGCTATTAAACACTTACCAACATCATTAGTAATATTCATTAGTGTCCGGCGCCGCGTCTGTCCCGCAGAATGAGGCACATGAACACTTTGTCTCTGCAGGCTCCTTTATTGACTGGGCTACAACCTCAATACACGTCCATCCTTGATGGCTTCCTACGTGTTGTGCCTCGGGCACTTCCTATACTTGGGCTTATATAGCTAATGTTATCCAATCATGGGATTACACGTGGGGACAGGTGATTGGGCGGCAACAAGGAAGCAATCAATCATTACCATATATGGCGGGGACAGTAAGCCGAGCAAGAACCAGGAAGCAGGATGTGTGCGCCATCTTGGACACACGATGGGCGGGGGAGCAGCGAGGCGGTAGGCGGACGCCATCTTGTGGCTATATTCTCATGGGTAATACGGCAGGCTCCCAACATCTCCCCCTTTCTTATTTACAAGGAAGGACAGCGAGACCTTCCAAGTGACTACAGAGGTCTGTACCCTGCTGTGCATGGCTCTGAGGTCATCCCCCGGCACAGGTTGGCCACCCCCGTGTCGGAAGGGACCTCCAAGCCTCATCCTTTTGCGCAGGGCTAGGGTAATTCGGATGAAACCTAGATGCATACAGACATATAGCCTGACATCTCTCTTCAAAAACCCCAAGAGTAGAATGTCATGCTGTACCATCTGGTCTCGCACCTTGGTACCTCTCGCTGTCTTAATGGAACGGGGCCTGTCTTAGGTTGAGCAAGGTGGAGTACCTTGATCTTACCCGTCTTCGGCTCGCCCATTCAGCATCCTTATAACTGATGCTCTGCAACATGAAGGAGATATGCAGCCGCCCGACCACAAGATGGGCCAGCCTCCGCCAGCTGCATAGCCGCCATGGCTGTAAATCTGACTTGTTGTTGAGTCTGCATCAAACGATCAAGCAAGCATTTAACAACCACTAATCCAACCAGGATAGCAACAGCAATAAAAATCCAGGTAGTCAAATTGGGCCAAGAGAACCAAGAGGTGACATGATTCCATAAACCTTTTAGAACATCACTCAGGGTAGACAAATCAAATCTAACCGGGTTCAACTGAATTTTTTCTATTTCGTCTAATTCCTGACTAACAATCATTGACAGGTTGTGAAATTTTGGCAAATAAGTGTCCTGCAGCCATTTAGTCATAGTCTTTGTAGTTTCAGTCAGGTTGGTGCGAACAGGGGTGACGCGGACCCGGAAAGGCAGCCACCTCTGATCACAGAGTTGAGTGGCAACCTGCCACAACGCATCAATCTCCTGCCCGATGAGCTGGATCTCTTCTTGTAGCCGAAGTATAGCCTGGCTGTTAAGCTCAATCTGTTGCCTTTGAGCCTTGATGGTCTTTCGTGTGGCGTTGCTCAGCCGATTGACTGCATCCATGGTCAGCGCGAGCTGCTCGGAGGTCCATGCCTGCAAAACAGCCTGTCCCACTGCAGGGACAAACAGAGAAGAGACCACCCCCGCTGCCTGCCACAACCAATCTTTTATCCCTCCTTTTGTTCTGGTTGGCAACGAGGAGAGTGTCCTGGGCTTGGACGGGAACCCAAAGATAGTTTGGATGATATGCTAGAATGGTGAAGGCCGGGCTTGCAATTTGATGCCCAAGCCTTTGCCAGGGGTATAGCCCATCCGTTTCATCATGTTTTGAGCCACCTCGGAACATCCCATATTCAGGGTGATGTCCATCTGAACTAATATATCTCTGCCCCATAGGGTCACCGGAAGGTTGAGGACATAAGGCTGAAATGTACCAGCATGTCCTTCCTCATCCTGCCAGGGAAGGGATTGCGCACTCACACTGGGTGAATGCACGAATCCCAATCCCTGGAGAGTCTGTTCTGCCACATTAAGCGGCCAAGAGGCCGGCCAGTCTTTATGAGAGATGATGGAACGGTCAGCACCGGTATCTAATAACCCTTTAATTTTCTTACCATTGATTGAGAGAAGCAACATGGGTCGTTCCTGCAAGGTCATATGGAGGCCAATAAAATTTTCGCCCGTGGACCCGAAACCCTGATCACCCCGAGAATGCTGCTTGGCAGGAAATTGATCATGCAGGCTAGGTAGGATGAGTAACCGAGCTATCTTATCTACTTTATTGATGATCAGTGTCCCCTGTAAAGACTGCACCATGATTTTAACTGTACCCAGAAAATCAGAGTCAATAACACCGGGCACGACCGTAAGACCGCGGAGGGCAACCGAGGAGCGTCCCAGCAGGAGGCCGACAGTCTTTGGTGGTAAGGGCCCCTTAAATGAAGTTTCTATCAATTGGACTCCCATTTCAGGTGTTAGTATGAGTCCGGAGGCGGCACAGAGGTCCACTCCTGCTGACCCTGGGGTAGCCCTGACTGGCTGTTCACTCCCGGAAAGGGGCTGCTGGGGGAAAGGGGGCCCGCCTTGTAGGAGGGCCCCCTCTGGCCATTTTTTGGCTGTGAGTCTTTACGGCCAGTCAGAGAATTGCCCTCCTTATCAAAAACGGCATATGAGGCAAGGCCCCTACGCAGGACGTCCCACAAGCGACCATGAAACGAGCGGCGTCTGGAGGATGGAAGTGTGGCAGGGAAGGGAGGGGGCGGCCCCCAGCCTCCAGGTGTGCTCATTTCCTGGGGTGGCTCCCAGGGAGGGGCAGACGGGGTTGGTCTCGTCCAGCCTGGGGTATGTACTTCCTGTATATCATTCTCCACTCTCTCGAGCTCTTCCTCTAAGCTCTCCATCAACCCTTTACATAAGGTTCTAGAGGGCTTATTAGTCTCCTGTCCTGTATCATGGCGCGAGCATGTCTTGCCGCCGTCTTCCCCTTTTGGGCCTGTTAGGGGGCCCTCCCCTTCCGAATCTGAGGAGCGATCCGGTGAACCAGCCTCAGAGGTCCCTCTGGAACTCTCTGAGCGCGCCTGCTCGAAAGCGTGGCGTGCCTCTTTGAGTCCCTGGGCTGCGCCTACCATACTTTCGGTTTTGAGACATGCCTGAACCATCTCCCATATGGGGCGGACCATAGGGTCGACACCCATCCCTTGTTCCTCAGCAAACTGAATATCACATCCTAACTTCTCCCAGGAGGGTAAAGTGAGGGATCCGGTGGGCAGAAACCATGGGGCCAAACCATCGATGCATTCGAAAAACTGCAGCACCGTTTGCTTATCTATCCTAATCCCTCGCGCCTTAAGCAACAACCACAGCGATAAGGCGAGGGGGCCGCAGTTAACATTGCCCATCTTAACAAAATTAAAGAGCCCCGAGGTGCAATAGCCAACAGAGGCCTGCCCTTCTTTTTCGGGCAATGTCGATCCCCACAAGGGGTCGACCAGTAGATCCCTTAAAGTGCGTCCACCAAGGGCCGGGTTAAGCCGCCGCTCACCTGCAGGTACGTACCGTTTTTCAACACAGTCACAGGAGCCGCAGAAGGCACGGGAATGGTTTCGAGTCCCCGTACGGGCCACCAGCTGTCCGACGCCGCGTCTGTCCCGCAGAATGAGGCACACGAACACTTTGTCTCTGCAGGCTCCTTTATTGACTGGGCTACAACCTCAATACACGTCCATCCTTGACGGCTTCCTACGTGTTGTGCGTCGGGCACTTCCTATACTTGGGCTTATATAGCTAATGTTATCCAATCATGGGATTACACGTGGGGACAGGTGATTGGGCGGCAACAAGGAAGCAATCAATCATTACCATATATGGCGGGGACAGTAAGCCGAGCAAGAACCAGGAAGCAGGATGTGTGCGCCATCTTGGGCACACGATGGGCGGGGGAGCAGCGAGGCGGTAGGTGGACGCCATCTTGTGGCTATATTCTCATGGGTAATACGGCAGGCTCCCAACACATTAGTCATTACAAGCTTCGGCTATACATATGATTGTACTGCTGTGTCATTTTTGTGAGAAATACTACACATTCATGTAGAAATCGAGTTTTGTCCCAGACAGGACACTGTAGCTGGTAAAGCCTCAGGTGGAACCAAGGAGCTCCATCTCCCCCACCCCTAGGAATTTATCTATGGCACCAAAAGAATACCAGTGGGTTACCTGTGCATCACTAATGCCCCTCAGGCTCCACTCTAAACCTAGGCTACTTATATGCCTCTACTTCACGTGTTCCATGGACAGATCACAGACCCCGGGGGGAGATGCCACACCCCGGGGGATCAGGGGTGTCTTTTCCCACATTCTCAAAATAAAGGTCATTTATATTTCATACTTTTATCTTTTCAGCCGCCGCTAGTTCCCCACAGTTCTATCATTTGGTTCCCTGACCAGGAACAGCAGACGAGAGACTCCTGGGCCCTCCCAGTTTGAGTCCCCTGCCGTTCAGGACCAGGACCGGACTGCATCCTGCATTAATTCCTCACTTCTACACTCGGGAGCTGTAAACTTGTCACTGCTGGTTCGCAAAAAACACCGACCCGATTTACCACAGGTGAGCAACTCCTGGAGATTGCTGCTGGGCCAGGCCCCAGGCAGGTTTTCTCCCCCTTTCTGTGGGTTCACGTGACACTCTCACGTCCTTAGATAGCCCAAGGCAGAGCTTTCTGGGCCAACCTGGGTCCACACTGAGAGACTCTCACGTCCTTCAGAGCCTTTTAAGTTCGCATGGGCAGAGTTGTTACTAAACCCACATGAAATTCACTCATATATTGGTGATGGCTAATTATTATGAGTTTTGGAACCATATAATCTGACCGGTCTAGAGTAAAAGGTGATGACTTTAAACTTAGCGGACCATGGTCCGTTGTCTCATCTGGCTATAACTCTGTGGGCCAGACCCCACACCAGATTTTATCTTGGGGACCACTTCCTGTCTCCCCCCTCAAGCATACCTATTTATAGCTTATCACACTGACAACAAGTTTACAAAACTCTCTATCTTTAAGCCTTTGTGTTGGGAATGTGTGTCCTTTCCTGCCAGCGTCCCTTTGTCTCCTCGCCGCTTCCCCTCCCCCTGCCGCGCCTGTTGTGCACTGACCCATTCCCCACCAAGATGTAAAAAAAATGAGCCCAAACAGTGTTGAAATGTGTGTGGGCTACTTTAAGCTCTCATGCTGTGCTCCAGGTCCACGTGGGGTTCGGCTCTAATGCCGCACCCTATTCCGTGCATCCTGTGAGCGGTTCCTCCACATGAGGGCTCAGCTCCGTGTCTGTCGGCTACTGGCCGCGCCTCCGGGAGCAGCCCCAGCTTCACAATGCATCCCAACTCTGCCTCCCAGCTCCGCTCCCCAAGCACCGCCACCACGGCCACCCTGTGCTGTTTCTGGGGGCAGTCCCAGCCCGTCCGCCTTCACTCTGTGTGCCCTGCCCCCATGCTGGGTGTGCTCTGCCGGCACACCGGAACACAAACACATAAACAGCAGCTCGGCGGCTTGGCTCAGACACGCCATTTTTTACATTCTCAAACCATTTAATCAAGGTTAAATAAGCTGGCAATAGACAAGACTTTGGCAGATAAACGGGAAGTGGCCACCTGGTAATTTTACCAGTCTTGTTTATCAATTAAAGCCTTCAGTAATCTCCTGTTTGGCAGCTAGGGTTGGGAGGTGTTCCTGAATTCCTTTTGCTGTGAGCCACCAGTGGCGTTCTGTGTTGGGCTTACTGCCTATGTTATATTGTGTTGTCGCCGATCTCCTGTTTAACAACTAAGGTTAGGGATGATTATGGATTCCTTTTGCTGGGAACCACTAGCTCTTTTCCAAGACAAGGGTTGTATGATACATACAAAACAGCAAAACCAACACTGTGGCAGAAGCCAAACTTAAGCCTTTTCCCAGCCTAATGGCCTGCCCTGGCTCAGCCCTCCACCGAGCCATAATTAACTATATTCAACTGATATTAAATAACACCATAGCTGATTTCTCTCCTAAATAAAAAGGAAAAAATTAATTAAACAGGCCATCCACCAAAAATCAGATGGCATTAGACATTTTAATAACATAAAGAGATACTTATATATATGACATAAATAACATGTCAGTTCCTAAAGTTCTCTGGACCTTGTCCTCCTTATGGGAAGTCATTACTAAAATTATAAATATCCTGTTGATTATATTTAACTCCTGCATACTTACTTAATTCTACAGATACCTTCTACTGTAGTCCAGATCCCAAACAAAAAGGCAAAACTTGACCTTCAAACCTCATAGAGACCTTAATATGGCTTTTCATGTTTTAACAACAGAGATAACAATAACACTTGTGACATTTGGAGTTCTGAGACAGGTAAACCAACACAAGGTGGAGCTTCCTGGGGTCCCCCCGCCATGGACCATGCCTCAAATGCAGCAAAAGACATTGGGCAAGAGAGTACACCATCCTGGCGTTCTTTGAGACCTTACTCCAGGGCTATTGGACTGTCCTAGCCACCAGAGAGTGGGTAAGTCATCCTAACTTCCAGCCCTCACAGGAAATGCCAACACTGCCAGATTCATCACCGACAGATCTGCTTAAACTTGCTGCTAAAGACTGATGGGGCTCAGGGCCAACAGCAGCCCCCTTTATGGGTGTCCATCTCAGAGTCCAAGTCCCACTAAAAGTCTCAGGTAAGACATTCTCTATACTTGTGGACATAGAGGCCATATGTACAGAGTTCTTCCTGAGTTTTCAGGCTGCTATATTAAGTCCTCAGCCTCTGGGGGTATTAAAGGTCAACCTATGCCATTTACAAACAGGGCCTATTTCATGCAGGTCCCAGACTGCTTCTTCCCAATCCACCCAGTGGTGCCGAAATCTTTCCTCCACCACTCACTCTTCAGTCCTAAATCTTAACATGCTTTTCATTCCCTTGTGTTTTTACAGACTGACTTAGACACACTGAGGCCTCAACAGCTTACACCTGTTATCACTAGTAAACCTCTCCTCAGTGATATAAGACCACCTCCTTCCTTTCTTATTCACCAATATCTCAGACAACCCTGGTCAAGGTTGACAGATAAATTTTGCCTTCTCACCTTTGTTTATACTTTTTCAGGATACATAAAAGCCTTTCCCACAACCAGGGAGACTGCTGATATACTTTCTAAAGTTCTGTTACAGCAAATCATTCCAAGGACTACAACCAGGTTACAGTGATCCATACCTGATATTCTTGGCAACCTCAACAGTGATCAAAATTGCTAGACTGCCATCCTGGTTTCACATCACTCAGGCTAAGCAGTGCCCTCCCAGCCCTAAATCTGATCATTCTGAGTGGTCATCTCATCTTCTGTCACCCACCCGTCTCTGTTTCATGAAGGCCTCACAGCCGCAGTTCACAGGCTAAGTCATGTTTTGTTATCCACTTTGGTTCCTAATTTCTTACGTTCTATTAATGATCATTTTTACAGCAGGACTTTTGACAGTCTTTCCTAAAGACTCCCACATCATGTGTAAGATCATCTTCATAATTTTCTATGTGACAACTGTATTAGTTCTTTCTGCCCTCAGCTGTTTGGTTAAACGTGACATCCCTAAAAGCCTAGGCCCTTACCTTCCCTATACTGGTACAGCCACCGCCTTCCCTGCACCCCCTATTTTTTCCAGTTCAACTCCTGGACCAGAGACAAGTTTTACACACCTACCCTCTTAACTTTTACCCTTTCAGATGGGGGAGTAATCATCTCTCATAACTTCACTCCTCCTAACCTCCACTTATTTTTCAGAATTCTACTTCACCATGACAATGATCCTACCTCAACGTGGTCCTGATAAAATGACATGTCTAAATCAAAGGCACCTTTCCTTCTACCTCACCTGGGTCCTTAAATATGACAATGCCATGCCTCCTCATAACATCTTGTCTCTTTGTTTTTCCAGTCTAACATACATGTATTCACCAGTGAAGTTGTCCTGGCTAAAACACCTGGCACCAGCTTCTACATGGGCATCAACTGTCATCTCGTCGACTCCCCTAGACCCCAGTAAAGCTCCGTCTTCCAGTTAAAGAGAGAAATCTTCACCCCTTTTCATAATAATAATCATAAGACGGGATATGAAAGAGTTTTGGCCCAGACAGGACACTGTAGTTGGTAAAGCCTCAGGTGGAACCAAGGAGCTCCATCTCCCCCACCCCTAGGAATTTACCTATGGCACCAAAAGAATACCAATGGGCTATGTGCATCACTGATGCCCTTAGGTTCCACCCCAAATCTAGGCTACTTATATGCCTCCACTCCCTGTGTTCCACGGAGAGATCACCGACCCTGGGGTGGAGATGCCACGCTCCATGGGGTTGGGGGTATCTCTCCCCACATTCTCAAAATAAAGGTCATTTATATTTCATACTTCTTATTTTTCAGCCACCACCAGTCCCCCCCAGTTCTATCAGAAATGTGTTTAAATTTCTTCCTAATTTTATAATCTACATGAATGGTAGTTAGGTGGACTAAATTCTTTGCATGTAATTATTTCAATGATATAAAATGCCCTTACATAAGTAGAGTGGTGTTATTGGTAAAAATATTCATTCTATGATTATGTAAGTAAGATTGAAATCCCTAAAAAACAAAGGTCTGAAATTTTAGCAACTTGTTCACTAGAGGTAAGCTGCTGAACTGTTGTTTCTTTAATTTTTAAAAACCAAACTACAGTTATACAATAGGAAAACAAAATGTGTTTCAATATTTCTCTCCATAAAAACATTAACTAAATTTTAATTAAAAGATGAAGACATATGCTTTGGGTAGACTCTTGTGTCGTAGGTTGCTGTTACAAAAACACAGCTGAGTCAGTCCATGTCTGGCTTACAAATCTTTTCTACAAGAAGCTCTCCTGCCTTCCTTTGCTTAATCATTAATTGTTTTTCCTCAAATGGCTTATTAGTGGGCTCCCTTGGAAGCTTTGAAGCTTTTTCTTGTATTAAAAAACACACCAGTCTTTACAGCAACACAATTCATGACAGCTAAATTTGCAAGTGGCCTAGATGTCTGTCAACAGGTAGATAAAGGCAATGTGAGATTTAAGGAAAGATAAACTTCAGTCATTGGGAGGCAAACGGATGCACCCTGAGACCATATGTTAAATAAACGAAGCCTAAGTATAGCATGGCTTCTCTTACATGAGAATGAAGGTGAGTTATGTACAAGTGGCAACTCCTCTAAGGAATGTAATCACTGAATACTGCAAATACACACTAATAAAATAAATGAAAAAATTTGAAAGCTATTTCAAAATGCTAGGGCACCACTCTTTCCTCAGTAAGCTTAGACAGTTAGTTGTCTTTGGCTGACCAAATCTCTGACAGTGACTATATAGAAACTGTAGCAAGAAAGGTATAAATCTCTCCTTGAAGAGTGAGAGAGCTTGCCAGGAAAGTAACATGTGCCTCAGTGAAACATAGTAGTTTAAGTTTGATGTTTTGTTGTACTAAAATGGTGAAAAATTAAAATAGTTAATTAAAAGATAGTTATTAGCAACAATGGTTAGTTAAAAGGATAGTTATTAGCAGTATTGTCATTCTGTCCTGAGCTCAGTTACTCTAGTAACCATGCACTAACCACATAGCTATAGATTAACTGACTGCTTCCTCATGTTGTTCTGTATGTGTCCATCCCTCCCACCCCAGTAACCTGTTTGCTGTGTCAACCTTTGTTCTCTTTGTAAGAGACAAATGATGCTATGTCAACCATTGTTCCCTTTATGAGGGACAAATGTTCCTAGAATTGGCAGACCAAGGGCTATGAGTTGGCTACCTACCCACGGTGAAATGCCTCTGACCTCAAGCAAAGGGGAACAAAGGCCCACCTTGTTTCTGTTTCTCATCGCTATATACTTAATGATCAATGAGCTAATCATAAATGAACTATAAAAATCAGCCAAAATTCTAACTTAGTCGCACAGCTTTGCAAATTTCATCTGTACTGTGTCACTGGGCCAGCTAAAATAAAAGTGCTTCTTTTAAAAAATGATGTTGTCTTGCCCTCTTTTTGGGGGATAGTTGTTTCTCATTAAAACATAAATTTTCTTTTTATTTCTCTCACTTTTTTTTCTGTCTTTTTGAGGTAGGGTTTTACTTTTAGAGGCAGTACAGGTTGGCTTTGAACTAATTTGGTAGCCCAGGCTGGCCTTGGACTCACAGTGATCCTTTTGTCTCAGCCTCATGAGTGCTGGGATCACTGGTATGTGCTGCCACACCTGGCAAAAGATAAATTTTCAATGAGAGTAGAATTGTAATTTTCATACAATATAAAATGAACATGTATCACAGAATCAGGATCAATGAGGAGAACAATACATGTCACAACCAGTTCAAAAGAGAACCAACATTTATAGTAAAAAAAAATATGTGAAGTGAATTTACCAAAAAACTCAAAACTGGCAAAATTGTTCAGTATCCACATGACCTCAATTTACATTTTTATGCACAGGGATTATTGTGACTGCACTGAATTTTCACTGAGTTTACTTCCATGTTTAGAGGATTATGAAACTGCCTCATCAGAGTAAACACAAACTGGATAACCCACATAGATAAAGCTTGACCGGATACATAAATTTGAAAACCTTTCACATTTTTTCTTACTACATATCTCTTTCTAGAGTGTTTTTGAATGACCTGGTGCCATTATCAGGGTAAATAAATTAAGAGTCAGAAGTTATCTGGTGTATAAAATTAGTTACTGAAGCCTGTGGGGATTGGAACTAATTTTCTCTTTACTATCCATAGTTGTTAGCTGGAACAGACCCTGTTACAAAAGAGAAAATAAGAATAAAAAGCAAATGTAATAGCACCTATGCCTTGTATATACCTGAAGAGGCTCAGAAACTCAAAAATAGGGGCTGTGACATGGCAAGATCAAAGAGGTGGCTTTGAATTTAGGGTTAACTGCCATCTTCCTTTGAAACAGGAAGAAGGGTGCAGGGTAAGTTATTTGGGGTGCAGATCTGTGCCTTTTCCAATGATAAGCATTTCTGGTGATTTAGTTATTCTCTACCTTGTATAGAGAAGAAGACAGTTTTAAAACTGAAAATTTCCTTTGTAGATGAAAATTTCCATTACAAAGTATAACTTTTACCATTTTCAGAACTTTTCTTGTATTCACAGTTTCTCCAAATCATCATTATGCCAAAGTGGCACATTCTGGTCTACTACAGATCAAAGATAGTTATATTTAGGAATTCCTACACATAAAAAATACTGCATTCAGGGCATTAGGGCTGTAGTTCATTTTGGATAAATAGATATAAATCAATATTTCTTTTGAGATTATTGCACTACTTAATTATTTGACACAAAAGCTAAAATGTTGCTCTATTTTCTATAAATTATGGATAAAATACAATATATACTTGCTGAATAGTTTGGATGAGTTATCTAACTGCCAGAAGTTTCCTTGCAACTTACAGATCCATCTCTGTAACAGTGATAATAAGTGTTATGATTTACATCTAAATGCCCCCTAAAGACTCATGGAATCATCAGCCAGACTTTGGGAAAAGACTGGATGGCTGACTTGGTGTTAGGTGGGGTGTTAGGCGGCACAATGGAGGAAGGTTCTTCCTAGCTCCTCCTCTGACTCTGTGTCTTGGTTATTTTTTTCTTGTTACTGGGACAAAATGCCTGCTGCCTAAAATGAAGGAAGGAAAGGTTTATTTAGCTGATGGCTTTTGGAGTTGTCAGCCCATACTCAGCTGGCTCCAAGGCAGGGTAACATGGCTGAGGGATAGCTGTTTACTGTGGCCAAAAGCAACAAGAAGAAAAAGGACAAAAGGAGGAAAGCACGCCTCCTTCCCAGCTTTATATTGTGTGCCAGCTCCAACCCTGGATGGGAGCAGTACTCACATGACCAATCCCAGTGCTAGACAATAAACCAATCACAACTGCTAGACTTGGCTGCCTCCATGACTGCATGAGGCTTGGGGGGTTACCCAGACACAAACCATAGCACTCTGATTCCTAGATACCATGAGGCACTGGGTATTGTGTCTAATTGATGAGGAGGTAATTAAGATAAAAAGCAAAATAATAAAAATGGAAATACCAGAGTTGATCCTTTAGCACATGTCAGACAGAATACAAAGTGTTTTAACTAAAATTTAATCGCATAGCACTACACATAAAGGGTATGACTGTGTTATGAAGTGGAAACTCACGCCTTCCTCACTCTCATTTCCTCTTTTCAATAAAGAAGAAACTTTAAGCAAGTACATTTTTGAATGATTTTAAAGATAGTACTTCAAAAGTATTGTGGTTCAGTGCATTAAGCAGCAAACCTTTCTGTTTTCATTTGCTTTGTTTCTGCTTTCTTCAATACCTTAACTTCTTTTCCCTCAATTTTCAGTTACAAATGGCTTTATACCATTTCTATTTAATTCCATATTCTGTTTTCTGCATTTATCTTTCTCCTTTCTTCTTCATTGTGTTGCTTTTACTGTTTTGTATGCTTCAAGAGTCAATATCTGACTCCACAAAAAGAAGGACTTTTTCCAAGTTTGACTTTGTGTCTGTGGTATACTAAGGAACTAATTCTAGCAAATGTCGCCTTTGTTTTATAGGTGACCCTTTCTTGTCCTTATAGAGGACTGACACTCCTGTAATAAGAGACAGATCAATAGGGAAAAGTGTAACAAATTAATGTACTCCGAGTGTTAAGGGACATAGAAGCCTTTAGAATACAGACCCAAAGACTCAAAGAAAACTCTTATTTTTAATGCTTAGATTTGCTGAAACATGGACAGCTGTGTTGAAATGTAACTGGACAAAAATCTGTGATCTAATAGACTGAGCAGGGTTTGTTGGGATTCTTCTTGGACGATCTGTGTGGCTTTCCTTCTACCTGCATGGGCAGCCATCCTTCTGGAATGAAGGTCTAATGGGCCATGAGAAGGTGGATCAGATCATTTCTTTATGGCCAGGACCTATGCAGAGAGGTGGTGGAGTAATATTTTATAGTTATATGATTTGCCTCAGGGAAAAGGAGTCTGGCTTCTATGACTCACATTAGGGAAGAGGAATTCTAGTTCCTTGACTTGCTTCAGGTAAGAGTTAAGAGCAAGAGGAGGAGGGGAGAAAGTGGTCAGCAAATTCTTGCTTGGTCTGCGGCAGTGTCTGAGGTCTTTCAATATCTTTTAGTTCAGATACTTAGCATTCAAAAGCACCATACTTTGGGGTATAGTTTTCTGACCCCGGACATATTGTATTTATAGTTGTAAACTCTTACTATTTTGCTCTGCATTTTTATTTCCTTGCTTTGCATTGTTGCAAAAGGAAAACAAAAAGCAATCACGAAACTCAGGGCACCGTCTAAACACAGTCCACTTCCCCAAGCCGGGCTGTGAGCTTT